GGCAAAGGAGGAAATTGTTCATGGAGGCAATAAGCCACACATTCCATACCCTCCTCCTGTGCCTGGTTCTCCTTCTTCCGCTGTTGTTCCAGGCAAATAGAGATCAATTGTTGTGTCTTGGATGGCCACTTGCAAGCTTTTAAGACCCCAGGCACTACGCATAGAACCAGGAGGTAGAACAGAAGCACTAAACACATTATCAGGCCAATTAACTGAGATGTCGCATGAAACTATGACTCTAAACCCCCAAAGAAACCAAATCCCATGAGGTTTTTGGTTGTACATAAGCAGCATAAGCAGCTACTCTTTTGTTGTTGTTGTTGTAAATATATCTGTCACACAACTTTTACCAGTTCAACTTTTTACAGGTGTACAACTTATTGACAACAATTACAATAATCAGCTGTGCAGCCTTACCCTAAAGCAACGTGATACTTCCATCACCATTAACCCTCCTCTCCCCTCCCTCCTGCCCCTGCTAACTACTAATAAATTTTGGTCTCTATATAATTGCTTTTCCTTGTCTTTTTATATGAGAGGTCATACAATATTTGTCCTTTTGTGATTGGCTTATGTCACTCAGTATAATATCTTCCAGCTCCATTTCTCCTACTGGCTGAGTATTATTCCACTGTACCTATGTGTGTACCACACTTAGTTTATCCATTTATCTGTTGATGGGCATTTAGGTTGTTTCTACCATTTGGCTATCGTGAATAGTGCTGCAATGAATATTAGTGTACAAGTCTCTGTTTGAGTCTCTGCTTGCAAGTCTTTTGGGTATATACCTACGAGTGGAATTGCTGGGCCATATGGTAGTTCTATTTCAGTTTTTTGAGGAACTGCCACACTGCTTTCTACAATGTCTGTACCATTTTGCATTCCCACCAGCAATGGGTAAAGGTTCCAATCTTCCCACATCCTCACCAACACTTGCTGTTTTCTGTTATTTATTTATTTATTTGTTTTTATCTTAGCCATCCTAGTGGGAGTGAAATGGTGTCTCACTGTGGTTTTGGTTTGCATCTCTCTGATGGCTGATGACGCTGGGCATCTTTTCATGTGTTTGTTGTCCATTTGAATGTCTTCTTTGGTGAAATGTTCATTCAAGTCCTTTGCCCATTTTATGATTGGGTTTTTGTCTTTCTGTTGTTAAGCTGTTGAAGTTTTATATGTGTTTCGATTATTAGACTCTTGTCAGATACAAGGTTTCCGAAGATATCCTCCCAGTCAGTAGGTTGTCTTTTCACTTTTTTGATGAACAAAAGTCCTTAATTTTTTATTAGGTTCCATTTATTTATTTTGTCTTTTGCTGTTTGTGCTATTGTCATTATATTAGATACCGAAAACCCAAACCCTTGCCGTTGAGTCGATTCTGACTGTTAGCTAACCTATAGGACAAAGTAGAGCCGCCCCATAGAGTTTCTAAGGAGCGGCTGGTGGATTCGAACTACTGACCTTTTGGATAGCAGCCAAGCTATTAATTACTGCATCATCAGGGCTCCTATATTAGACAATCCATTGTTAAAATCTAGGCCTGACAGCGTTGCCCCTGCTTTTTCTTCTAAGAATTTCATAGTTTGCACATTTAGGTCCTTAATCCATTTTGAATTTGTTTTTGTGTATGGTGTAAGGCACGGATCCTCTTTCATTTATCTGTGTATGGAAATCCAATTTTCCCAGCACCATTTATTGAAGAGACTCTTCTTTCCCCATCGGCTCATTTCATTTTTATCACTCTCCCCTCAAGCCCACATGCTCTGTCTTTTCCTCCCCCTATCAGGCTCTGCTCTGGTTTTTGATGGTTTTCCCTTTGTTTAATCATTCTGGTGAAATGAGACCCAAAATAGAAAACAAGAGAGTACTGACTTGGATGGGAAATAGATTCACCAGAACATCTTCAAACAGCAACAATGCTAATCACCCTCTCATCTTGCATATGTAAGGGCATATAAACCAAAACCAAACCCACTGCGGTCTAGTAGATTCTGACTCATAGTGACTCTGTAGGATAGATTAGAACTGCCCATTTCCAAGGCTGTAAGCTTTATGGGAAGTCCTGGTGGTGCAGTGGTTAAAAATTCAGCTGTTAACCAAGAAGTCAGCAGTTCGAATCCACCAGCCGCTCCTTGGAAACCCTGTGGGCCCTTTCTACTCTGTCCTATAGGGTCGCTATGAGTCAGAATCAACTTGACGGCAGTGGGTTTGGGGTTTAATCTTTACGGAAGCAGAATGCCACATCTTTCTCCCGTGGAGAGGCTGGTGGGTTCGAACAACTGAACTTTCAGTTAGCAGCCGAGCACTTAACCACTGTGCCACCAGAGCTCCCTTAAGGGCATATGTCACCTCACAAATCAGGGGCAATGCTCTACCCTGCAGCCAACAGGCATGTGTGGAGGGATTACTATGCACAAGGCTCTGTTGTACCAGGCTCTACTGGAGAGGCAGAAGTATGACCCTAAGCCTTTCAACCAGGCTGTAAAGAGGGGAGGCTTCATGGAGGAGGAGCCATGTGAGCCAGGACTTGAAAGACAAGAAGGACTTTTAAAGGCAGAAATGACAAGGAACTGCCTTGCAGATGTGAAGGAGAGCCAGGAAGCATGTGCAGAGGCAGCGAGTGGAAGAGATGCACCAATTTGGCACAGCCATCAGCTCGCATCAGGTTGGTGCCTGTGCCGGACTGGTTGTTTTTAATATTATCCCTACTGGAAGTATTACCAACTTCCAAGTCCATGTTTCCTACACTGTAGCTTTCCAGGTCTGAGAGCATCCGAATCAGACTGCTGAGGGAAAGGAAGATCTAGTTCCTCAGAGCTGAGCTGCCACCACCATCAACACCTCTGTGAGACTCAATTTCTGAATCCTGTAGGCCAGTCAGAGGAGAGGAAAACGCTGAGCTCCGGTGCCTTGAATTACCCAGGCTGAGCCTCCCCAGAACTGGCCTGAGGCCACTCCTCCACAATCTCTCCTCTTCAAACAGTGTGAGGATGAAGAGTTGAAGATAGTTTCTCCTTTGGGAAAACAGAATTAGAGAGAGGGAAAGAGAAAGGAAAATACCTCTAACCCCCAACAAAGTAATCCCTGCTATTTGGGCAACCAGCTGATGGAAAGAGTCTGAAAAAGTTTACAAATACCACAAATTCAAAGTGCTGGGTTTATTTTTACAGCCTCTGGAACCATCTCCCCAAGCACAGCTCAGTGATCCCAGAGAGGCTGTCCCCAGTCTCCAGCTAAAGTTGCTCCCCACGCACGTTCCATCACATCACCTGGATTTATTTTTCATGGTATTTATCACAATCTGAAATCCTCTTGTTCATTCATCCATGGGTTCTTGCAGATTGTTGGGTTTTGTCTCCATTTCCCTTTTCCACCCCCGCTCCCCCGCCCAGGCTACATCCTCATAAGATCAGGGGCCAAGTTTGTGGGGTCACTGCGGTATACCAGTGTTTTGCAACATTGTTAGCAGGAAGCGGGCACTCAATAAATATTTGTTGACCTCCACAGTGGGCTGAAAGGTAGTATCTATCAAATTTACCAATGCACACACCCTATGACTCTGAGTGACAGTGAATGGGAATGTGAGGGTCACTCTGATTTACAGTTTCCTTAAAGGAACCAAGAGAATCTTTCAACTCAATCATCAAAGTTATTTATTACACTGCTGTTTGTAGTAATACCAAGTTTGTAGACTTGCCCAACCTAAATAACCAGTTATTAAATAAATGACAGTATATTTGCACAACGAGAAAACTAGCATGCCTATGAAAGAACAAGGAAGCTCTTTGTGAGCTAATATAAAAAGATTTTCTGGATATGTTGTTAAGCGAAAAAAGCAAGGTACAGAATGGTGTTAAGGTATGCTATCCCTGGTGAAAATAAGGGGGGAGGATCTATACATACCTGCTTGTTTATGCAAACAGTATTTCTGCCAGGATACAAAACAGCTGGTTACAATGACTGCCTGCAGGAAGGGGTACCAGGTTACTTGGGAGCAGGAAAGGAAATTTTTTACCATAAACTTTTTTGGAACTTTTGAACCATGGGATGTATTGCCTATTCAAAAATAAATCCAATTGAATCAACAATTATACTTATTTTAATTGAATCAACAATTATATATGTGTTTATAAATATGTATCGATTGAATAATAATTGAATATAGTTCAGAGTTTCCCTTGGTGGCTTTTAGGACTTGTAAGCCACAGTCAAAGGAGCCCTGGTGGCACAGTGGTTAAGCCCTTTGTTGCTAACCAAAAGGTTGGCGGTTCAAACCCACCAGCTGCTCCATGGGAGAAAGATTTGGAGTCTGCTTCCATAAAGATTTCAGCCTTGGAAACCCTACGGGGTAGTTCTACTCTGTCCTATAGTGTCGCTATGAATCAGAATCAACTCAAAGGCAATAGGTTTTAGGCCACAGTTGCTCCCATTCTCATTCATGGTCACACCCCTGAGCCTGCCCTCACTCTTCCTCTCCCTGTCCCTCCCCTCCCCTAAAATAAGGCCAAGTTCCCCAAGGATGGGCCCCTGTGGCAGCTGTCTCGCTTGCTTGCTTGCTCACTGGAGGTGTGCGAAGGACAGGTAAACAGTGGCATGTGGTGGCAACAGAAATTCCCTCCATGCCATTGTGTCCTGTAAACAGAATAAAAGAAAGTCATCATGTTTACCTTCTGGGGACTTTTGTAAAAAACAACTTTCCTGCTTCCTTAGGCTACTAGATAAAAGAAAACAAACTTGTTTCTGCTCTGAGTCAACTGGCTTAGCTAGAAACCATCCAGTCTAAAGGGAAGTTTTTGGCAAAGTAGGCAGCAGGCTCTTATGGGCCTGATATATCCTGGTCTAGTGGCTGCTGAGAGTCCTGTCTAGAATCAGTGTTCTTCCTCGAGCTGATGGAAAAAGGGTCTCTTGGAAGTTGCACTGTCCACAAAAAGAGCAGGGTCAGCCCAGAGAATCCAAACTTATCTGCCTCTTCATGGGTGTGCGTCCCATGCTTAGAAGGGCCCCTGTACTTGGTCTAATGCTCTGCTGCCACCATCTTGAAAACTGTAATAATTTTGGAATAAGGAGACCACATTTTCATTTTCTACTGAGCCCTGTAAATTAAGTAGCTGGTCCTACAGGAAGTGTCACAAAAATTGGTTTATTGTTTGGTGTGAAAAATATACTGCCTCTTCTCATTCGCCAGTGTGCCTGAGCTTACCAGATCCTTTTCCTGAAAGTAGCTTTAGAGGAGCTTGAGGGTCCAGGCACCTGCACCTGTGGACATGTAGGAGGGGAAGGGCACGGTCAAGGTCAAGGGAGCAGGCAGGATAGGCCAACCTACTAATGTGGGATACAGTCAGGCACGTATCCCAGTGCAGAGGGACTGGAGAGAGAGGATCACGGGCCCCTTCAGCACTGAGTGGACACTTTTAGGGCTGGAGAAGAAGGGAACTGAGCCAGTTACCATTTCTTATGCCAGCGTCTTTCTTTATTCTTGGCTCCCACAGGGTGCCTAGAATTACAGGTCCACAGTGTAGCACCTTTGAGGAAAATCTTCTGAAGAAGACACAGGTGCAGGGCTTCTCATTTTTGCATTCATTGTTCTTTCATTCAAGAAATGTTTGAGCCCACACGTTCTGGAGAAACAATAAGAACACAAGAGAGGTACTCTCCCATGCCTTCATGAAGCTTGCTTACACTGTAGTGGAGCTAGGCAATAAGCAGCTAAGCGAACACACGCTAAGTACAAATTGTGGTAAGCATTATAGAGGAAATAAATAGGCTGCCAAAAGAGAGAATAACTCACGGGAGAAGGCAGGGGGCTGCTTGGATAGGGTTATCAGGGGAAGCCTGAATGAAACAGAAGCAACAGGAGCAGCTATTTGAAGAAAGCAAAAGGACAGACCAGGCAGGGGAAGAGCTCATTAGAGTTCCCAGGACCCACAGAAATCCTGTCCTCTTCTCATTTTACAGCTGAAGAAACAGATTTGGGGAGGAAAGGAAGTTTGCGTATAGGGGGTCGTAGTAGAACCAGGACTAAAATCTTAATCTTCAGCCCAGATCTCTTTCCACTTCACTCGTCCTCCTGGGTTTTGCCCTCTTCCGTCTGCAGAAAGGTCAGCCCCTGTGCTAGAACTCTGTGGAAAAGAGTAACCAGAAATAAAAGGTAAATGGTTGCTTGGAAACAAGAAAGGATGGCCCCTCTGTTATGGGCATATGTGGTTTTGGCACCTGGTATCCATTTGCCGTTCTTTCTGGTGTCCTCCTTCTAGGGGGACCACCTCCCACCCCCTTCTCAGGCTCTGCACCTCCAGTGGAGTACATTTCCGGGAGTTCATTTCACTTCCTGCCCCTGGGGTGGGCATGTGACTCAGGTTAGGCCAATCAGAGTATCACATTCCCTTGGCCACTGTGATTGGCTCAGGAATGGCCATGTGACCTAAGCTCAACTAGGAACACTCTGCCCTAGGGCTCTGACTCTTGAGAGGAATGGGGTGGGTTTGGCAGAAATGACTGGAGTTCATTGGTTTCTGCAACTTGTGCTTTTTAGCCTAATTCTTTAACCTTCCTGATAATTCAGGAAGACCCCTCTGCAACCCTTTTGAAATGGTAGTTAGAAAATCAAGTGATAACATTGTTTCCCTTATTTCCTGACCACCAGAATCTCTCTAACTGAGATAAGAATCTCTTCAAAGGCACAGCAGCTCTGCTCCTAAATAGTTACTTGGAAAGTAAGACCCAGTGCAAGAAAATCAGCTGACACAAAACCTTTAAATGATTTCTTTAAATCAGTGACTCTCTGGGTGTGGTCCCCAGACCAGCAGCATCAGCATCACCTGGGAATTTGTTTGTTGTTGTTAGGTGTGGTGGAATCAGTTCTGACCCCATGTGACAGAGCAGAACAGCCTCATAGGATTTGCTAGGCTGTAATCTTTACAGGGGAACCCTGGTGGTGTAGTGGCTAAGAGCTAGGCTGCTAACCAAAAGGCTGGCAGTTCAAATCCACCAGCTGCTTCTTGAAAACCCTAAGGGGCAGTTCTACTCTGTCCTATAGGGTCACTATGAGTTGGAACCGACTCGATGGCACCTAACAACAACATAGTGGCTTTGAATTACGGTGCTGGTGAAGAATATTGAATATACTATGGTGTCTTAGTCATCTAGTGTTGCTATAACAGAAATACCACAAGTGGATGGTTTTAACAAACAAATTTATTTTGTCACAGTCTTCTAGGCTAGAAGTCCAAATTCAGGGAATCATCTCCAGGGGAAGGTGTTCTGTCTCTGTCAGCTCTGGAGGAAGGTCCTTGTCATCAATCTTCCCTTGGTCTGGGAGCTTCTCCACACAGGAATCTTGGGTCCAAAGGACACGTTCTGCTCCAGATGCTGCTTTCTTGATGGTATGAGGTCCCCACTCTCTGCTCGCTTCCCTTTCCTTTTATCTCTTGAGAGATAAAAGGTGGTGCAGGCCACACCCCAGGGAAACTATCTTTACACTGGATCAGAGATGTGATCTGGGTAAGGGTGTTACATCCACCCTAATCCTCTTTAACATAATCTAATCTTGCATCACTAACCACAGGCAGAGATTTGGATTTACAACACATAGGAAAATTATATCAATCACAAAATGGAGGACAACCATACAATACTGGGAATCATGGCCTAACCAACTTGACATTTTGGGGGGACACAATTCAATCCATGACACATGGACTGCCAGAAGAACAGACAAGTCTGTCTTAGAAGAAGTACAGCTAGAGTGCTCCTTGAAAGCGAGGATGGAGACACTTGTCTCATGTTATTTGGACATGTTATTAGGAGGGACCAGTCCCTGGAGAAGGACATCATGCTTGGTAAGGTAAGGGTCAATGAAAAAGAGGAAGACCCTCAAAGAGATGGATTGACACAGTGGCTGCAATAATGGGCTCAAACGCAGCAACGATTGTGAGGATGGCACAGGACCGAGCAGTGTTTCATTCTATTGTGCAATAGGGTTGCTATGAGCCGGAATCGACTCGACAGCACCTAACAACAACAACACTGTGGCTTGGGGACAGGGCTTTCCATCAGGCACAGCTAAGTCCTAACCTTCGCTCAACTATTTGTAGGCTGTGTGAATATGGGCAAGTTACAACGCTTCTCTAAGCCTCAGTTTTCTCATCTGAAAAACTTGGAATAATAACACCCCTTTTATGGGTTACTGTAGAAATTATATGAGCTAGTGGCTATAAAATCGCTAGCACATAATACACTCTCCATAAATTTCAGTTCATTATTATGTTGATGGAATTAGGCCTACTAATTACTTAATTATAGGCACTGACTCCCTTCACTATCCCATGTTGGCTGAGAACATATTTCCCGTTTGTCTGAAATGGATGCCAAGCCTGAGAACACACAGAACAGGACTTGGTCTCAGGCCTGGCACTGCCAGAAACTGACTGTGTGACCTTTGGTGAGCCAGTTTCCATCTCTGAAGCTCAGTTTCTCCACATGTTAATTTAAGTAAGTGGACTGGTTGGACTAGATAGACTCTAAGACCCTTTGTGGACCTGGCAGTCTGAAATTCTATGGATTAAGCTTTGAACAGAGTTTTGTTTTTTTAATTGGCTGTGGAAAGCATAGGGTTTCAGTACCAAAATGCATCTGGAAGCAGCTATTTATTAGGACGCATGAAAGAAGGGCCAGTCTCTAAGGTGGGCATTAACCGGTTGCCATTGAGTCTACTCTAACTCATGGCAAAGCCATGTGTTGCAGGGGAGAACTGGGCCCCATAGGGTTTTCAAGACTGCAACCTTTCAGAAACAGATTGCCACGCCTTTCTTCTGAGATGCCTCTTGGTAAGTTCAAACCACCAACCTTCAGTTAGTAATTGAGTGCTTAAATATTTGTGCAACCCAAGGACCCAAAGGTGAGCATTAGAGGGAGGCAAATCTTCTTGCAGAGCAAATGTCCCTGTAGCTTTACCCACCTGTCTCTGGGGCCACTCCATTCTTTGGGCTGCACCACCAAGGAGCCTTCCTCCCCACCCAGCCAGGAGAAGCACCCTCTCTTTCGTTATTCTACTGGTGGCTGCTTCATCCCTTCACCAGACATTCTGACCACAGGCCCTCCAAAAAATAAAGAAGAGTGATCACTAAACTGTGAACCTGCCAACAAGAACAAGTTCACCTGCTGTTGGGTTTTAAGCCAGGCTCCAGTGCATCTCACAATAGCCCTGCTCAGCTTAAGCAAAAATGGCAGGGCATCAAATCACCCTTTTGCAGAGAAGCAGAAAGATAAATTCCCCTTTTCATTTTCTTCTGCTTGCTTATCTACATTGGCTGTGCTTCCCCCCTACAGTGAGTGTTTATCATTGCCCTTTACTCCTCAAAGCAGTAGCTTCCAACAGAGACTCTCACCATACACAGGAGTGGTTTTTCTTTGGCAATAAGAGTACAGTGCATGGGGAGGCTGGAGGCCCCATTCAAATGCCAGGTCATGGGGTACCTTGGGCAAGTCACTAATACCCCCTTTCACTTTTGGGAAGTAAGAGGTTGGACCAGCTCTTCATATGAAACACTTACCAAGACTGCAAAGCATCACTCAAGGGCTGGCAGCTGGCTCAAGGGCTGTTCAGAGACAAGGTCCAGAGTCCAGTCCTGCCCCCTCCACAACCACAGGCCAGCATCATGGCAACACAGAAGCCTCCACTGACAAATGGGTGGTGGCTATGCATGAGGTGCACTGGGTGAGAATCGAACCGAGGTCTCTGACATGGAAGGCAAGAATTCCACCATTGAACCACCACTGCTCTGAGTTTTGTCTGGCTGATTCGTAGATGTGAGTAAATAGGGAAGAAAATGTGAACTGATCAATATATTATTAAAAAAACAAACAAATCAAACCTATTGCCATCAAGTCAATTCCGACTCATAGTGACCCCATAGGACAGAGTGGAACTGCCCCATAGGGTTTCCAAGGCTGTAATCTTTACAGAAGCAGGATGCCACATCTTTCTCCTGAGGAGCAGCTGGTGGGTTCGAACCGCCAACTTTTCAGTTAGCAGTCGAGGGCTTTAACCACTGCACCACCAGGGCTCCTTTGATTGATGTATCTCTATCAGCAATAGAAACCTAATGTCCTGTGAAGGAGGGCTCTTGGAAGATTCACATTCTTCCAGACTCCTAAACACATACAGGACAGATCAAGAAGAAAGGTGGCAGAGCCCTGGATTCACCCATCTCCCCTATATTTCAGATAAGGAAACTGAGGCCCAAACTGGGGTAGCGATTCCTCAAGACCACCAAGAGTAGGTGATTTTGGGTAAATGCTCGGCCCACAACAGCCTGATTCTGCCTTTATGTCCTGGAAACTAACGCAGTCAGGGTAATTTTTTACCACCAAGTGGATAGATCCGATGGGCTCTTCAGCCTGCTGACTGACATGCTTCTCAAAGCTGAAGAGCACCCCCTGACACCCCCACCCCCTCAGCAGTAACACCAGAGGCAGCTCTGACCCCGCTGCATTTTTCCCAGGCTGTCTCAGACAAAGGACCCGCCTGGCCTTGCCTTGTTATCTCTTGGACCTAATCAGCTACGCTCCATTTTCTATCGTGTTTTATCCACAAAAGCCCCGTTGGCTGCCCAACAGGAAAGCCGGGCCGACGTCCCAGATTTAGTTTGAAAGCCAGGCTGCAGCTGGTTTGATGGGAGCAACTAGGGTGGATATACTGGGCCTGCAGTGCCTTCAGGAATCCTTCCTGCACCTAGGGGTGGTGTGGGGTAGCAGAAAGAACAGGCAGACAGGCCTGGGCTCAAATTCTAGCTACTTTCCGGCGGCATGACTTTGAGTAGGATATTTAGCCTTCTGAGCCTCAGTTTCCTCGTCTATAAGATAGACACCACTTGCCTCACAGGGTCATTGGATTTTGTGCGCTGCATCATCCACTCTGGGCCTGGGAGATGGAACTCTGGGCGTGTTTGTGTTCCTGAAGCTCAAGGTGTGCAGTCGTGCTAGTGAAGAATTAGAGGCTCAGCTCTGGCCTGGAGGTGGGCTGTGGTGTGACAACAGAGCCCATGCATTGGGTTTGAGGATGGCTCAGATGCCCACTAGCAGCGGCTAATCCCTCCTCTTCTCTGAGATTCAGTTTTCT